CAGGAATTTCTCAAGAAATACATCCTCTACGCGAAGGATCGTATTCATCCGAAACTGAATCAAATGGACCAAGATAAAATAGCAGCTGCGTATGCCGATCTTCGTCGGGAATCAATGGTGAGTATGCCTTGTTCTGTGCGACTTAGGCCTAACATCCTTATTGTTATTGTTGGTTGTATTTCATGCATCTCTTGTGGTCTTGTTCCATTTAACATCCCGCTTGCATTGCTTCGCACGCACACAGTTCTCATATGTAAACTATTGCTTTGTTATTTTCTCTTTGTCTATTTTCCTTCGCCCAACGACTGACAATTGGTTGTGGTGCTAGAGCACGGGAAGTCTGCCAATCACGGTCCGCCACATTGAATCGGTCATTCGCATGTCTGAAGCACATGCACGATTGCATTTGCGTGAATTTGTGAACGAGGAGGACGTGAACATGGCTCTGCGTGTCATGCTTGAGTCGTTTGTATCCACTCAGAAGTACAGTGTGATGAAATCAATGCGTCAGGTTAGTCTACAAAGTCGTATTTCCTCCACCTATTGAACAGCTTTCTGTCATGTATATTCACATACCAGCTCGTCTTTGTGGTTGTTTTCCTCGGTTTTAGACCTTCTCTCGGTTCCTCAGTTTCCGCCGGGATAATCAGGAACTGTTGCTGTTCCTGCTGAAGCAGCTGGTTAATGACCGACTAGCGTTCCAACGCGTTCGCCACGCCGGTGAGCAGGAATGGCGTGTGGAGGTTCCCGAACGTGATCTTGTCGATCGAGCTAAGCAAATCAATATTAGCTCCGTGCGCGCTTTTCTTCAATCCGACCTGTTTCGTGCGCATCGATTTGTGTACGACACCAGTCGAAAGGTCATTGTGCACACAGTGTAGCCGAAGGTGAGTTCTCGCTCGGTTTATTCATTCTCCCATCAACTATATCAGGATTAGTGGATCCATTTCTGTTTTCTGACTATTGATGTATGCCTGTTTTACTAGATAGTCGATTGACGAACAATTTCTGTTAAATCGACCTGTTGGAATTTCGTACTTAAACCTTACAATGGCCGCTGAGGAGTGCCAGGATTTTCATACTGTTTTTTTTACTCATCAGGTGTAATCCTCCGTCTCACATTACTAGTTCTCTGTTAGATAGTATTATCTTTATTTGCTCGCTGTCGTTGGCTGACGACTGAAGAACTAAAGATGGACGTATAACCATGATGTGATTTGATAGTCGCTGGTTTTCCTTCACTAATAATATGCTTAAATATTAGTTGAAAAATTCTCTTTCTCTCAGTTGCCTTTGCACTTCACCGGCATCGATCAAATCATATGTGCTTGCCAATCGATACGGTTATCATGCGGCAAATGTTTTTAAAAATAAGGAGTGATGTATTTCATGTTACAGCAAACATTTTCCAGGCTCTTGGCGAGATTGTATTTGTTGTTTGGTCTCGTTCGTCACTCAGTGTATCGCCTACGTAGCGGAGGCTGTGTGTGGAGCAAATTGGGCCGACACGACCGCATCTGTTCCTCGTGCCCGGGTAGATGCGATCGGATCGCGACTTTCTCAAACCCAGATTGCACTACTCATAGCCTTCGCTCAGGCGATCGAACATCCGTCAAGCGTGATGACTTTTTTCTCGAAAGCGTTTTGATCGAGATTTTCTACATTGTCTTTCGTTTCTCTTTTCTATAGGGTATTGCTTGGATCTGCAGTTCAGAACTTTATTTCATTGTCAACACAGAAGATTTTATACATGCCTATTTTTCTCATATTGAATACATCTGGTTGTATTTACTCCTTTTCTGCTACTGTCGGGTGCAGGTTTATCGTGTCCGCTTCTTTGTGCCACCGTCTGGCTGTCGAATTCATTTCCCGGTAATTCCGTCAACTGCCGTTCGTCTAAGCACGCATCGAAATAGGATCGGTTTCTCTCTGTCCGAGTATGGACAAAAATCGCGCAGTAGTGGTTGTAGACCCACACTGTTGTGGCTTATCATGAATGCACATCCTGTTTTTGAATCCCTCTTTCGGTAACATTCAGTAATTTATTTTCAGAGGTGAATTCAAAGAACCAAGCGATTATTTTCTTACCAAATGAGTGCACTGTAATCCATTAAGGCTGCTTTATGCGGTTTAGCTGTTCTATTCAGTGATTCTGTTATTAGAGCAATGTATCAGCCAGCTGAATTTACCATAAGTCGTGGATCCTACAACCATTCCGCTTGCCTACACGTGCAGAGAGAAGGACCCGGTTGTGCTATTTCGTACAGTACAAATAGTATCGGGGTATATCAGTTAAAATGTCTTTCGTTCATAGCATGCTAACCTATCGCTCGTTCACGTAGGTTTGATTTGATATTGGCCTCAAACACAAAGCTCGGTTCCAACAGCCTCGAGTCATGAAGTATTTTTTTAACCTACTAGTAGCTGACTTGTAAACTGGACTGCCACTTGGAGCCGTAAACACTGCAGTGGAGTCAAATGACCCGCTCATTCTCACTCGAACCGGATGATGTCCTCCGTCGAACGGCGCACGTCTTGAATCGAGTTGGTATATTGAGGAATCTGAGCTAGTCTCCATTATTTGTACGCACTGATTGTTTATATACTGAAGTTCAATTCTTGTCCGATAATATGGATTTTTTCGGTGAAATCAACTGCAAGTATTCACTGAACGTGGGCATCTTTTGTGAACCGGATTCCGTAGTCACGTGGATAAAAGTTGAGCTTGGATAAAAAAATAAGTCAGTACGCACGGCGCCCATGGTACACAGACGTCGAAGCTGATCCGGCCTAATATCTTCGAAATCGTTACAGTCATGCGGCAAATAATCTCGGTTTCATGACAAGATTAATGTAGCCACATCTACCACTTTACGATTCCAGGTTAATACATGTGATTGAATGGTGACCGGTGTACGAAATTCACCGGTTATCCCAAAGGTTGTGCCCCAACTGAAAGCACTAAAGATGATTAGTCCTCGGGGAGCAGCGGCAACAGGGTTCTCACGATGCACCCCCGGTCGAATGTGTCCACACCAATCATGCTTTTCTGCCCACCGAGGCCAAATTCCTCTTAGTCGATACGTTAGACACCGAGACATCTTTGATAACGGAACGACTGAGCTCTTCCAAATCTCTGACCGAGTAACTGCAAGTTAATGTCTTCCCCATGTGCGATGTGGAACTGTTATAACGCTTTAGCTCGTGTTCTTTTCGTTCAGTAATGTTATCAGAGTACCAAGACCATTTACCGCCAGAGACTCCCTCTTTTCGTTGAAATGTCTTGCTCCGGACAGCGTTATTGCTCAACATGCGTTGAATGCCGTTCTGACAGAATCCGTAATCGGTTTGAAATGTCCGTCGTTTGGCATTTCGTAATTACTTGCTCCGCGCGTATTTAGCCCTGAAAGTTCTAGGAGCACAGCGAAAATGCACTAGGAATTGTCGCTTCAGTTCCCTGGGGTAGATGCAATCTGGGCGTGCTGAACGCGAATTGAGTTTTTCACGTTATCCAGGCTTTGCTAATCATATCAATACCGTATGAATGATTTGTCTGGTCGTGCGACTAGTGCATGCCTGGTAAGAATAATGTATGATGGATCATTGAGGTCATTTTCATTCTTTGGGGTCAATTTTTCATTGTGCCTACTAGGTCAGTACGGCAACCTCAGTTATCAATTCCCAGTACTGTACACTACCGATCAGACGAAAAAGTTGCTCTGAGCCAGTTACAAACGAACACCTTGTTTCTGGAGATGGTCGAACAAAATTGTCAAGTGTTTACATCGGTCGTTTGCTGTGGCACGTGTGGCATCTTCGACATCCGTTGAGGGTGGCATGCGTGACGTGCTTGCGAACTGCGCGAGTAGCATGAACAGTGGATACCAAGCGAACAAATTACACTGCCCCAGATGTTGACAGTCAGAGTCTCACTGGCCATCTCGATCAGCGTGAACTTGGTTAATCCAGTTTTAACGAAGCAAGCGTGCGCATTGAGTTCTGGGAAGCTAGTTTTCGGTGTTGGCTTGCAAGTTTTGATGCACACTAAGTATGTGGTGAAGTGTGTGAAAAAATGTATTTAGTAGATGTGGATAGGGGCAAGAAAGCAGGCAAACCATTTCCGGATTGAGTCAGAAGAATCATCCCCAGCCACGGGACTCGTGACAACTCCGGGTTACGGCACTTGAAGTGCCCTAACGAATCGCTCATGGTAACAAGGCGAGAAGTCTACTAGACCAATGGTCTTTACCTTGGCGCTGATGAACGGACCTTGAATGACTGGAAAGCAACCGGTGTGTTATCATGAGTACATTTTTATTCACTTGATCGCTCATATCCGTAAGCTGTTCGACGAGAGTTGTCCTGGCACTGATGAGCGGCCTCCGGGTAGCTTGTCGACCATGCGCAAACGGAGCAGTACCCGATCATTGAAGAGTCAGGGATAGGCAGTTTACCTCTGAGATGCGCAGAAATATCCATATAATTGATTCTGCGGGCAGATGAGTTTCAGTTTGTACAACCACTAACCATGCACTTTCGTGCGCCGGTTTTGGTTACTGTCTTTGGCTGTCCATTCGGATGAACAGTGGGAGAAAGAACTTAGGTAGTCTCTCTTCAAATGAGTTGCATGTTTAACTTTTTATTCACTGTTCAACTAGGCTTCCTTCGGGTCTGTTTAGTATTCGTTCCTATAAACTACTCAAATCCGAGCTGCTCGTTTTCATCTCTTAAGTTAAAAATGTGGCATTGCATTTCATCAGTGTTTGGTAACGCCCGATGCACCAGCCGTTTGATTCATAGCTTTTCTCTCAAACGATTTCTGATGGAGTGTCAGCTTATTACACACCGATTTGTGTGATGAGCAGCAGACCCCAAAGTCACGGAGACCTGCTGTTCAGTAACCTAAGCCCCGAAACTTAATGCGGCGAAGTGCGTCGGGCGTGGTTAATTCACTCTCTGATGTGCGGTGGTCAATATCGCTCATGTATCTCATCGCTATTCGGGTCCACATTCTTGAAACGCTGATATTCCGTGATAAGTTTTTTAACGGACATGAAAGAAGATGTGAGATGAAGTCCTTTCGTATCTTTCCGACATCCGCAACAGTATAACATCTAGGCAGCCAATGACATGAATTTTGTTCAAAAAGGAAACTGATGGCGATTGGTTAAAGCCAAGGTTCAGAGATAGCCGCCAGCGTTTTTGACCGCACATGATTAGCGGGCGGTGGTAACATCAAATTATCACCCCGCAGGGCGTTTCTTCGAATCCGCCTAGCTTTCCCCCTTTGCGTGTTGCATGGCAGCTCTTTGATTGGCCGCTTCCCTCCCTGGAATTTGTATCATCGTGTATTCAATAAAAGGAAGTAAAAATGAAGAAAGAAAGTAGAGGTGTGTGACAGAGCCTCCAATATCCCTCACCAAGGTGAATCGCGATGATGTAACTGTAAAAAACGTCGGTTAGGTTAGCTTTGTGACTACTCGCAGCCTAGAGAAAAGTCGCTGACGTCGGCCCATGCATCACGTTTTCGCTCGTTTTGTAAGGCCGTCGTTCCATTCCGCAACTATTTTGGGATGCATTCATTTCTTCCTGAACACAACGTCCAACTTTGTTTGCGCAGGATTTTCTCTCGCCTCCCGTCTGTTCACATTTGCATACGAGACAACCCACTATATTCACTTATCGAATCTTAATTTTACCTGGAAACTTTTTTCAAATATAATATCACCCTTTCCATGTCTATATAAGTGTATTATTCGGTGGGCGGATTTATCAAAAATGATTTTGTCCGCTATTTCGTTTTTTCTTTGTGGCATGTTCGTTGGGTAATTTCACACTTACTCCTCATGAGTAGTATAGAAATTGTCACAAAATTTAATGG